ACTACCAGAAGGTTCTAGAAGACACAGCAAAGTAAATTTGCTTCATGATGACACACCGTCACACACTTCAAAGCCAGTTAAAGACACATTAGCCCTAACCAGTTTGGCTCAGTGGATAAGAGTGTTGGCCTTCAGACTTAAGGGTCCCAGGTTCGATTCCCATCAAGGGCATGTACCTTGGTTACGGGCACCTACCCAGTAGGGAGTGTGCAGGAGGCAGCTGATCGATGTTTCTCTCTCATTGATGTTTCTGACTCTCTATCCCTCTCCCTTCCTCTCTGTTAAAAAATCAATAAAAACACACACACACACACACACACACACACACATATATATATATATATATATGTATGTATATATTTTTTTTTTTTAAGACACGTTAAAAGATCTTGACTGGGAAGTATTAACCCACCTGCTATATTCATCAGACCTTGATCCTTCAGATGACCACTTGTTCTGATCGATGGCACACGCACTTTCTGAGCAGCATTTCAAAACATATGAAGAAGTGGAAAATTGGGTCTCTGAATGGTTTGCCTCAAAACAAGAAAAGTTCTATTGGGACGGTATCCACAAATTTATCTGTAAGATGGGAGAAATGTGTAGCTAGCAATACACATTACTTTGAATAAAGCACTTTTGATGTTTCTCTTGACATTACCATGTTTTCTTTGATTACAAAATTCGTATTATTAACTAGTACACCCAGTATATGAGTAATAGTTGTCTTTTACATATAATTGAGACAAACGCATTATTGAAGAGCTAGGCCTAGTACTATGTCTCCCCCTCCAAAATTATTTAATTTTCAAAATGTCAGAAGAGCCTAATTTTACATGTGAAAAAAATTTTGTCCTCTATTTTTTTAATTTATTGATTTGAGAGTGAGAAACATCAATTTTGTTGTTGTTATTGTTTTTCTTATTTATGCATTCATTGGTTGATTCTTGTGTGTGCCTTGACCAGGGATCAAACCTGCAACCTTGGCATATTAGGGTGATGCTCTAACCACCTGAGCTACCTGGCCAGGGCTAGTCCTCTAATTTGAAGGATTACCATGATAAGGGTCAGATTTGCATTGGTCACATACATGTTAACATAGTTGCTGCTTTCCCTTTCTTTCTACGCATTCTAGCTCCTCTTACTTTCCCTCTGTTAAATAGTTCACATTTTTGCTTGACATAGATTTCCTCCTTAAATCATTAGTAAAACTATTCAGAATTGTATTCAATTTGGTGTTTTGTGTGTGTGTTTTATATATTTTTGTTGATTTCAGAGAAGAAGGGAGAAGGAGAGAGAGAGAAACATCAATGATGAGAGAGAACCAGTGATCAGCTGCCTCCTGCACACCCCACACTGGGGATTAAGCCTGCAACCTGGGCATGGGCCCTGACCTGGAATTGAACCTGGTTCATAGGTCAGTGCTCAATTTCTGAGCCACGCAGGCCAAGCAGAATTGCATTAAATTTGTAGGTATTAGTCCAGTCCTATTATAGGGTGGACAAGGTTAGGAATATGTGGTTAGAGTGTCTGCTTTTGTAGGGAGCTCTTATACTTGCTGAAGACCTGTTGCTGATAGCTATCTTGCAAACAGTCTGAATCATAAAAGGTCAGGGAAAATGAGCTTTTATCCAAATAAGTCTTAGATACACGTTTGCCTTCATGTCACTAATTTCTGGTTAGTTCGATCTTTAAGTACTCCTTCCTGCTTGAGTGTAAGCATTTCCATAACTAACTATGTTTAGAAACATCTATATGATATGTGTTCTGCTTAGCAGGCATTGAAGGTATATAATTGCCTCTAAAATGGACTTTGTTAGTGAGTATGAAGAACTTTGATGATAGCCATAAGAATATTCATGGACTTTTCAGTGGAAATTTGTACAAAGTATCCAAATATATGAAAATCTAAGTATAATAGTTCCCCCCACTTCTACCTACCTGTTTACCTTGGATTTACCAGCTTCTGCATTTTTGGAATTGGTGGCAAGCCAAGATACAACCCTTCCCTTTTAAGCTTTTACATCTAGATCAGGAAGACAGGCTGGTAATGTGCTCTTAAGTATAGTAATAGCTTCATGGAGGGGGGTGGCCTTGAAACTGCGTAGGATTTTTGTTTGTTCATTAGTCTAGGCCTTAGGGAATTTAACTGAGAAACCAGGCATGGGAGGGTGTTCCGGGAAGAAAGAAGGAAAGCATTGTATTGTTACTGCTCGTTCTGTGTGCACCTGAAAGAACTATGTGTTCAGTCTTTCATTCCGAATTAAAGGTATCTCTTACATGTTAGGATTGACCATCCCTCTTTGATGCCTTCACACACCCCCATGTGAGTATCTGTTGCAGCACTTACCATACTTTATTGAATTTTTTTTTAACCTTTTGACTGCATTAAATTCCTTGAGGACAGGAACTCTGTCTGCTACCTCTGTGTGTCCCAGCACCTCAGTTCCTAGAACACATTTGCCTTCCTGAAGTATGTCCCAGGGAATTTCTGTGTAACTGAGTATGGTCCCTTTGCAGATGGCATGCTTGCTCAAGTGATGCTGCTTCGGTTGAAAACATTTGAGTCTGCTTGGAGACATGATTGGTAGGCTGAATAATGGCCTTGATAGGACCTCAGATTGGTTTCTGCTTCAGTCAGTAGGTCCAAGACTATTTTGCCCTATCCTCAGATTTGATCAGACTTGATGATAATTGATTGACTCAGGCTGTGTGGCACCAAAGGAGAACTTTAGACTTTGAGAGCCAAGCGATCTTAGTTAAACCCTGGCTGTGTTGTCTGCTAGTTTGCTCATCTGAAAAACAGAATGATAATAAGTAGAGTGAATGTGACAATTACAAGGGAGAATGTGTGTAAATTATGTACTGCTGGTTCAACAGTAAGCACAAATAGTGTTTTAGATAGTTATTATGATCATAAGACCTAGGAGATACTGATTTCCAACCCAAATGTCAAACCTATTACTTCAGAATATTTATAAAACCGTCAAATAGATGAAGATGATTGTGTCCAGAATAATTTGACCTCAGAAAGGTTGCTTAGAGCAGTGGTCGCCAACCGGTGGTTCTTGACCACTGGTGGTCTGTGAGGTCAAAAAGTTGGTGACCGCTGGCTTAGAGAATCAAGAGGAATAGTTAAATCTATTAATGGCTACCATCCCCATGCTCTGATTGCCTGAGGTGTTCATCTTCCTAAGAGGATTAACTGTCAGGTCTGGCAGAACTTATTTGGGTTCCCTTTACCTTGATGCTTAACAAACTCCAGATTGACTACTTGCTTCTTTTTACTTATTCCTCAAGTCAGGAAGATATCATTAATTTTAATTTCTATAACAGTCATTCAGGTTTATGTCAGATTTTTAGGATATTTTTCTGTTTATATAAGTTGTCCCAAAACATGTATATACTCTTTAACAGCTGATAGCCTAATTGATGTTTGTTTCCTTCCTTCCTTCCTTCCTTCCTTCCTTCCTTCCTTCCTTCCTTCCTTCCTTCCTTCCTTCCTTCCTTCATTTATATCCAGGCTAAGCTTTAAACAAAGAAAATTCTTTTTAAAATGTTACTGGGGGTTTGAAAATGCAGTTGAAATACAAACACTGCCTTTATAATTATTTAAAATGTGTATACATTTTTTGGAGGACACCCTTTCCCAAAAAAATATACACACTTTAATAATTTATAACTCACTTATTTTTTTACTTCTTTACACATTTAACTGATTTGAAATAATGGGTGAAGCCAGACTAAGCCTTGAACAAAATTAGTCCATTAGACTTTTTAATGGGGTTACATAAAAGATAAAGTTTACAGTACAAAACCGGGAAACAGTTGAAGAACTGAGGGCGATTCCATTGCTTTGTGTTATCAGCAGTGCCTGGACCAGAATGATCATCAGTTTGAAAACAGGCTTTGACAAAAATCTTATTCATTTGTGTGGATTCTTTTAAATTTTGAAAGTGAACTGTATATTCATAAACACAGACTTAATAGTCATTCAAAGTGTGATTTTTTTACAGAGAGAAAGGGAAAGGGATAGAGAGTTGGAAACATTGATGAGAGAGAAACATTGATCAGCTGCCTCCTGCACAACCCCCACAACCCTGGTTGAGGTTGTGCCCGCAACCAAGGGACATGCCCTTGACTGGAATCGAACCTGGGACTTCAGTCCGCAGGCTGACGCTCTATCCACTGAGCCAAACCAGTCAGGCCCAAGGCAGCACTCTTAACACATTTGATTCTCAACAGTTTTGTGAGGGAGATACTCTTTGTTACCCTCACTTTACTGATGAGGTCCTCAGACCCAGGAAAATGACATAGCAGGTCTGCTTCTGGAGTCCTGACTGTCTACTCTGCATTATCCAGACTGCTTCTCATTGTGTAGCTGAGAACCGCTTGCTCTGTGTACAAGCCAAGGAGCAGGCTCCTGAGCCGGCATCTGAGACCTTCTGGGATCTGACCTCTGCGCTTTGGGACTTCATTATCTCCTGTCTGTTTTGTGTACAGCTGTAGCAATTCAACTGTGCTCATGGTTGCCCTACACACAGTGCTGCGCTTTGGCCCCTCTGCCCCACATGCCTGACTCACTCAGGTAGGAGCCCCTCAAGGACGTTTCCTCCACGTTCTCCTTTGTCCAGTTCCCACCACAGACAGACAGATACCTGTGTAACAAGTACAGTAAGTATAGTGAAAAGATAATGATAACGCACAAGGGAGGTAAATACTTTGCATTTAGCAGTTTGGTTCTTTATCCCAGACTACGCTATCAGCTCCTTTGAGGGCAGGAATTCATACCATTTGTACCAAGTATATAGACAAAAAATTAAACATGATCTGAACAAGTGAACACAACTTTTCTCCTAAATTATAATATATTTCCTACTTCATAATTCTCTCCACATCCTTAAAACTATGAAAAGCCTTATTTATAATCTTGGAAATTTATATAAATGCAGATAATCACATTTTTAGGTAATGATTTTTCTTTTTTTTTCCTTTTGAAGCTCCTTGCCCGGCTTGAAGGTAGACGGTCCTTGAAAGAAATAGAGCCCTGTCTGTTTGTCGATGAAGATGAACCTGTGCATGGTAAAAACACAACTTTAAACCAAATGGCGTGTCACAAATTAAATTTTATAAATGAAAGTACTTTTTTCATATATAATCATGTACCTAGCAAGAGACTCTGTAGGTTCAACTGTAAAATTAAAATAACACAGATCATGACAGAATTTTTAAAAAAGCTCACTTGAGAATATTTTTTCATTGCTTTTATTTTCTTTTATTTTTTTTTAAGTTTTCGAACTTTTTGAATGTTGTTTATTTTACTTTATTTTTTAACATCTTTATTGTTGAGCCTGATCAGTTCGGCCCATAAACTAAGAGGTCATGGTTCGATTCCCAGTCAGAACACATGCCTGCATTGTGGGCTCCATCCCCAGTGGGGACTGTGTGAATCTCTCTCATTGATTGATGTTTCTATCTCGTTACCCCTCTCTCTTCCTTTCTCTAAAATTAATTAAAAAAAAAAAAAACTTTTTTAAGTCTTTATTGTTGAGAGTATTACAGATAACCCTTTCCTTTATCCCCCAATTTTCCTCCTCCATCCAGATCCCTCCCATCACAGGTCTTCACCACCCTGTTGTCTGTGTCCATGGGTAATGCATGTATGCATATAAGTTTTTTGGTTGATCTCTTTCAACCCCCTTCCCTCTGAGATTTGTCAGTCTGTTCCATGTTTCCATGTCTCTGGTTCTATTTTATTTATCAGTTTATTTTGTTCATTCAATTCCTTGTTAATTTTTTTATTTTTAGATTCAATTATTGATAAATATATGTCTGTCTTGTCATTTTATTGTTCACATCTTTCTTTAATTTAATATTTTTATTTTATTCAGTTTAATATTTTATGTAATACTGGTTTGGTGGTAATAAACTCCTTTAGCTTTTTCTTGTCTGTGAAGCTCTTTAAAAATATATATATATACATATATGGTTTGTTTCTTTGTTTTTAATTTCAGAGGAAGGGAGAGGGAGAAATAGAAACATCTATAATGAGAGAGAATTATTGATTGGCTGCCTCCTGCACTCCCCCTATTAGGGACTGAGCCTGCAACCTGGACATGTGCCCTGACCAGGATTGGAACCATGACCTCCGGATTCATAAGTCGACATTCAATCAATGAGTGACACCAGCTGGGCTGTGAAGTTCTTTATCTGATCTTCAATTCTTAATGATAGCTTTTCTGAGTAGAATAATCTTGGTTGTAGGTCCTTGCTTTTCATCACTTTGAATATTTCTTGCCACTTCCTTCTGGCCTGCAAAGTTTCTGTTGGGAAATCCTTTGGGTATTCCCCTGAAGTTAACTTATGGCTTTTCTCTTGCTGCTTTTAAGATTCTCTTTGTCTTTAACCTTTGGCATTTTAATTATATGTCTTTTTTTTTTTTTTTTTTTTTTTTTGTCCTCACTGGAGCATACTTTTTCCTTGATTTTTAGAGAGAGTAGAAGAAAGAGTGAAGGACAGAGAGAAATACCGATGTGAGAGAGGCACATTGATGGGTTGCCTCTTGCATGTGCCCTAACAACGCCCAGGCTGGGAAGGAGCCTGTAACCAAGGTACGTGTCCTTGACCAGGATTGAATCCAGAACCTTCAGTTCGCACTATTCACCGAGCCAAACCAGCTAGAACTTAATTATGATATGTCTTGATGTGAGCCTCGTTGGGTTCCTCTTGTTTGGGACTCTGCATTTCCTGGACTTGTATGTCTATTTCTTTCACTAGTTAAGGCAAGTTTTGTCATTATTTTTCAAATAGGTTTTTAATTTCTCTCTTCTCTTTCCAACACCACCATGAAACAAATGTTGATAAGCTTAAAATTATCCCAGAGGATAACTGTTCACTATCTTTATACTTTATGGTTCTTTTTTCTTTTTGCTCTTCTGACTGGGTGTTTTTTGATTCCTCGTATTCCAGTTCGCTGATTTGATTCTTAGCATCCTCTACTGTTGATTTACTATAAATTATTCTTCATTTCAGTTAGTGAATCCTTCATTTCTGACTGATCCTTTGTTATGTTGTTGATGTTCTCACTAAGTTCCTTGAAGTTCTCATTAAGGTCTAAGAGCATCCTCATTGTTTTAAATTCCATCTAGTAGTTTGCTTGCTTCCATTTTATTTGGTTCTTTTTTTCTGGCGATGTCTTCTCTTCGTTCATTTCTGACATGTTTATTTGGCTGCTTCTCTTTGTTTGTTTCTATGTAGTAGATAGAGCTGTTGTGTCCCCCGGAATTGGTATAGTGGCCTTGTATAGTTGTGTCCTGTAGAGTCCAGTGTCTCAGCCTCCCCAGTCATCTGAGTTGGGCACTCTAGGTGCACCCATGTGTGCACAGTCCTGTTGTATTTGAGCTTTGATTGCTGTTGGCATTGTTGAGAGGAATTGACCCCCCAGGCCAGTTGGCTATGAGGACTAGCTGCAACTATAGAGAGGGAGCTGCTGTGGGAGACACACTTATGGAGCAGGACTTGCTTCAGTGGGTTTTGATGCTCACTGAGTCTGCCCCTTGAGTGTTTTGCTACTGGATGTGGTAAGGCTGTAATCTGACATAGTCTGAAGCTGATCTCTAGATGCACTGGCTGTGGGCCTCTTGGGAGGTATATAGCCAGCTCCAGCTCCTGCCTGAGTCCTGCCTGGGGCTACCTGGCATGAGTTACAGAGCAATCTTTAGATGGCTGCTACTTGTGTTGGGCTTGGAGACGCCCAGGAGAAGGCAGGCTGCTGCCTGTTCAGGACCATGGGGCATGCTGAGGTCAGGTGCTGTGTGTTTGGAAGACTTAGGAGTCTGAAGCCTGAGCTAGGACAGGCTCTTAATATGAAAAGGCCGTCACAAACAGCTTGGGTGCGGCTGCACATTGGATGGGGTGGGGTCTCAGAATCAGCTACAGGTTGATGGAGACTCAGGTATGGTGACTGCTGATTGCCTTGTGGCAGGGAGGTCTCAGCAAAGGAACAGTGTCCCCTGCCAGTACTTCTGTCTGGTACAAAGCTAGCCCCAGTTCTTGGTCTGACGCCAGACAAGTTAATTTCTCCCTGTATGTCCCTGGATTCTTTTAACTCGTGCTGGAGCTCAGGGAGTGAGTCTGAGTAAGTCTGTGCTATGTGCCAGTCCTTTGAGAGAGAGAAACATCAACATGAGAGAGGCATGCCAGTTCGTTGCCTTTCACATGAGCCCTGGCCAGGGCCAGGAGAATGAGCCTGCAACCAGGTACATGCCCTTGACCAGGAATGAAACCTGCAACTCTTTAGTGAACAGACTAGTGCTCTAACCACTGATATACCTGCCAGGGCTGGCAGGACACTGAAGCCTGCTTTATCTACAATACGTTAGAATCCAACGGATGCTAAGAATGTGTCAAACACAAGGCCTGCGGGCCAAATCCGTCGCGCCAGGCCTTGCAATGTGGCCCGCACCGCGCTGTCATCACTGCACTCCACTGCGTTTCCATCACAATGACAGTTTATGACTGTTCAGTAAACCATTCGGCCCGCGATTTAGGCTGGATTTTAGATTTTGGCCCCTTCTCTGATTGAGTTCGACACCCCTACGTTAGATGAAATTAAGTTTGGCTTTTCTGCGGTAAATCTTCAGAATAAACTGAGCTCTTTTATTCCAACACAATATTTGTGGGAATTTTTTAAAAATTATTCTTTAGGCCGAGGCCGGTTTGGCTCAGTGGTAGAGCGTTGGTCTGCGGACTGAAAGGTCCCAGGTTCGATTCCGGTCAAGGGCATGTACATTGGTTGCGGGCACATCCCCAGTAGGGGGTGTGCAAGAGGCAGCTGGTCGATGTTTCTCTCTCATCGGCGTTTCTAGCTCTCTATCTCTCTCCCTTCCTCTCTGTGAAAAGTCAATAAAATATATTAAAAAAATAAAAATAAAAATTATTCTTTAGAAGTTAGAGAATCACAGGAAAGACTCAGGCACCCCGTTGTTCTGTTAATATTTCTACAGTCAGAAAAATACATACCTACTTGTTCCATTAGCACTGCTACCCTAGAGAAAACTTATAAAGAAGGTAATGTGCTTAGGTTGTTGGTTTTTTTAATGTACTGTAACAGTTTTATAGAGATGCAGTTCATTTAAGTGTACAATTCAGTGATTTTTTAGTATTCACACAGTTATACAACCATCCCCACATTTTATTTTAGAACATTTTCATCACCCCAAAGGAAATTTGAGCCTATTAGTTACTCCCCACTTCTTCCCACACCCCTCAACCCTTGGCAACTGCTAATCTACCTCCTGACTCTATCAATTTGTCTTTTCTTGACATTTTATATAATTGGAGCCATATATTATATGATCTTCTATGACAAGTTTTTTTCTTTGCATAATCTTTTCAAGGTTCGTCATATTGTAGCTTACATCAGTAGTTCACCCCATTTTATTGTTGAATAATATTCCATTTTATGGGTATACTACATTTTGTTTATCCTTTCATCAGTTGATGTCATTTGGGTTGTTTCTACTTTTTGGCTGTTACAAATAATGCTATGATTATTATTGTACAAGTTTTTCTTTGGATATGTTTTCATTTCTCTAGGGTAATGCCTATGGAAGGGATTATTAGGTCGTATGATAACTGTGTTGAACCTTTTATGCAACCAGCAGACTCTTCTTTCCAAAGCTGCTCTTTTTACTTGCCCACATCCTGCAAATAAATGTTTTTGTCTGGCTTTTTTATTATAGCCTTTCTAGTGAATATTCAGTGATATTTTGTGGTTTTCATTACATTTCCATGATGACTAGTGATATTAAGCATCTTTGTATCTGTTTATTGACAATTTATATTTGTCAAATCTTTTGCCCATTTAAAAAAAAAAAGGGCTCTTACAATTCACTTTTTATTAGTGAATTGTAAGAGCCCTTTAAATATTCTAGATACAAGACTCTTATCAAATATATGATTTGCAAATATTTTTTTATTTATTTTTTTATTTTGTGGATTGTCTTTGGACTATCTTGATGGTGTCCGTTAAAGCACAAAATTTTTAATTTTGATGAAGTCCACTTTACCTGTTTTTCTGT